AATGGATGAGGAGTGGGAGTCAAAATATCAAAGTGCTGTCCGGTTGACCTCCTTGAGGCTGCTTTTCCAAATCTCTTCAGCTTATTGGAGATAGCCACAGACCCAGGCTATGTAGCAAGAAATCAGTTTTTCTGCCCACCTAACTATCAGCTCCTGCACCTTGGCGATGAGCTAACTCGGAGATTAGGCTGAGTTCTTCACAAAGAGGGAAGGTAGTCTGTCTTGACCAATGAGAGCTCTCAAATGCAAAAGTACTAGTTTTAACTTGCTGAATGATTTCTCACAACTGGAAATAGAAACTGCATTGGTCAAGTGAATCTGCTCAGTGGTACCCTCTTCCACTGGTGCCCAGGGCATGTGCCATATCTGCCATACCTTATATTTCCCTGCACCTTGGCAACAACTCAATCCTCCCCTCAAAAGTCTGAGCTTGCAGAAAAAGGCAATATGTCTTCTCTAGGGAACTGATCACATGAGCACCTTCTCCCAAGGTTATCACATGTCTCTTGTAAGTTTGCCCTCCTCCATCCATCAACACACTGATCCATTCATCCCAAAAATGCATGATTTCTGGGTACCAGGCACTGTACTAGATACCGGGTCACAAAGATGGAACACTCATAGTCCTTGCCTTCATGTGGCTTACAGCCTGGTAAGAAACAGTTGTTCTTGTCAAGTGCCACTGAGTCAGTTCCAACTCATAGCGACCCTATATAAGGTTTCTAAGAAGAAGTTGGTGAGGTTGAACCACCAGCCTTGTGGTTAGCAGTCTAGTGCTTATCCTACAGCACTACACTAGGATGCCATAGTGACCCTGTTGTAGGTTTCCAAGATGCAGCTGGTGGGTTTGAACTTCCAAACTTATAGTTAACAGTCCAGTGTTTATCCTACAGTGCCACACTAGGACTCCCTCTTAGGAAAGAGAGACCTGAGTAAACCATTACAATACAGGATGATGAGCATGCCAATAAACAGATATGAATGAGTCAAAGGAAGCACAGAGAACAGAGTAATCAGCATATTTAATAGTATGGTTAACACAACACTGAGAAGAACAGAGTTGGATGACTGACAATACCCAATTTTAAGACTTACTATAAAGATAGAATGATCAAAATGAAGGATCAATCTGTGAACAGAATAGAGAGTCCAGAAATAGACTTATATAGGTATAGTCATACTTCTCAAGTATGAGTATTCCAGAACACTTCATTGTACTTCTAAGAAATCTGTACCTAGACCAAGAAGCA